ATATATAAAAAGTAAATGGAGGAACATATATTTCACTGTCCTCTTCCCGTCTCTACACCTCAGCTAAGAGTGTGACAGAGGGATATTAATGTTTTTTTGGGCTGACATGGAGAGCAACATAAAGAGCTATAATAAGAAGTGAAACTTGGCATGGGTTACAGATGATTTACTAATGTGATGAGTACATTGTATTCATTGACAAATGAGGCTCTTAATAGGCGCGCTTTGATTACGTCTATAATAAATGGCTTGGCATCCACTTCAAACATTACTGTTGAATATATAAAGTCATTTTGTTTGTTGAAAATCCTTCCGTGAAATGATGAATCTAATCACCCAGCCTATCCTGAGGAAACAGAGCATTATGTTTGTATTCCTTCAAGTATATCTAAAGCCAATATTTTTATTATTGGACTTAGATGGGGTTAAAAGCTCTGTAGGGATTTTTATGCCACCCATAGGGGTGATTTCCCTTAAGGCCCCAATCACACCTGAGAGTGAGCATTTTCAGGCTTAAGCATTTTTGTTTTATCTAATGGAAAGGTAGTTACTAGGAGGAGGAGACCATGTTTTTCAACTGCCCCCATTGAGGTCTATGGGGTGAGGTTCTTTCTGATAAAAAAAAAGCTCATGTACTTTTTCCCAATTATCCATCAAGCTACAAGCATTACAACACTCAAATTAAAACCAATGGGATGCTCGACAAAACACTCAGATGTAAATGGGGCCTAACATTCTATCCTGTTGACAGAAAATGTTTCTTTTAAAGAAAGAGAAATCCTCTCCTAGACAGGTATCACCACAACAAGTGTCCCCATTGGATGACCGTAGATAATGAAGTAGTCACCGACACTCCAAAATTCATTCTTTATTGACATTAATGTTGACCATCAATGTCAATAAAGAAGAATTGACAGAATTAATTTTGGAGTGTCAGTAATTACTTAATTTTTTTATGGTTTAATTGGCATTGCTATCCGTGTTCACTGCAGCACCCAGCTGCAGATTGCGAGCAAATTCTGTTCAGGAGTGCGGTGGGATACAAATAGGCCCATTGGATGACTTTACCTCTTTTCAGTGACAGTGACAACTTAAACAGTTTGGATTTGCCTTCACTTTCTGTCCAAGCGTTTAATGGTCACCAGGACAAACACAGAGGGTGCAGCTCCCCAGCAAGTACACAGAGAACAATGAAACCTGACAGGGGTTCCAACCCTTCACCATTCTTTTCAAAACTGAAAAAAAATAAATAGTCTTTACATAAACTTTAAGTATTTCATGCCATTTTATGGAATAAAACATCTGTCTGGTCACTACTGAATTGTCTGTTTTTAGTGGGTGGGAATTACCCACTAACCTCTATTATCTTTAGAGACTGTGAGTTATAATACCTGAGTTCCCAGCCACATTTCCCTGTCATGGCCACTATATAATTGGATTAAATATAGCATATGGTGGGATAATCCTCCCCCTGCTCCATGAAGTGTGAGGCTCAAAGCTATGGAGAACAGCAATGAAAACTGCAATGGAAATATTTTGCAGTTGAGTTCTTTGTAGAAAGAAGCCAAAAAGAGATTCCGCCTAATCCAGTATATCAGTTCCAGCTCTGCACATTGATTTTTCATACAAATGATCTGAGCTCAAATTCTCCCATTAAGTCGCTGCATTACAATTGAACTCAGATTCACTCATTTAATCACTGTATTAAAAATGAACTCAGATTTACCCATTTAATCTCTATTACATGTGAACTCAGATTTACCCATTCAATCGCTTTATTAGATGGGAACTCAAATCCACCCATTCAATCACCATATTACAAGGAAACTCAAATTCACCCATTTAATCTCTGTATTACAAATGAACTCAGATTCACCCATTCAGTATCTATAATAAACTCAAACACACCTATTCAATATCTGTATGTCTATAACTTGGTTTCTGCATAGAAACTGTAGTCCTTGCTAGGCATAGATTCTAGCCTTCATAAGACATTGGTAAAAAAGCAGTGTAAAGCAGGGGTGGGCAACTCCGGCCCTTCAGCTGTTGTGGAAGTCTCATGAGGCATTGCAAGACTGACAATTAAAGGCATGACTCTCAGAGGCATGTTTGGGTTTGTAGTTAAAGCACAACTGTAGGGCCAGGGTTGCCCACCTCTGGTGTAAAGTCTCATATAGTTCAGTAGCTTCTTTTAACAGGTTTGTCTGCTGATTGTGAAGTATAGCATTATTGCTCCCTCAATGGGCTAACTTACCAGGGTACTGTATAGTTATTATAAAGGCTTTATAAATTACCATGTTGGAATTATAGTTGAAGAGTCCCATTACATCTATAGACATATACCAAATGCCTTATATTTTTTTTTAGCTGGAAATCCATTCCTAAAAAATGTAGACGCTATTTTTTGTTCTGCTGTTTTATGGAGAGAAAGCAGAGATCTGTAGACCCGGAATCAGATAGAATACAAGTACTTTATTACATATAATAAATTATTGCTTTAGCAGTGCTAAAGCAGTGCCACCTGGGTACCAATGCAGACTGGTGGGGACTCCTCAATGAGCTCCTGACCAGTCAAATGCTTCCTCTTTGTAAACAAGCCATTCAAAGGTTAATGGTAACCTCTTGGCCAGCTTGGCAACTTCAGCCTAGGATATTGATAGCCTTCAAATTGAACCAAGGGGACATTCGAGTACTGCAATATGGTATCTTCCATTGGTGACCTACTTCTAATTGTGCATGCTTTGCGACCATCACCTGGATCCTGACTTTACTACCCAGCAGGTCACTTACTTGTGTACGGTGTACAGTACAGTGAGAAGAAACTTGCCGTTGGTGAAGTATGAAAAAGTTGAACTTCCATGCTGAATGCTTATTTTATGTCAGTGACTTACTAGGAAATGAAGCCATAACAGCCACAGAGCTTGACCATATAAACAGCAAGTCAGTAATGTCAGAACACATATTTGTTTTTTGGCTCCTATGACTCTCGCCATACAATCTGGAATTCCCATGATCTCCTAATGGCCCAATTTGCCACCAGAGCCCTGAGAAAACCCACATCTCTACCCCCACAAATTAATGCAGCTCTGGGTGTATTCACAGCAGCTTGTCAGGCCCCTACATTCTCACAAGGGGGAAGCTTGCTTAGAGCTGTGTAAAGCTGTCCATAAATGGAGCAAATTTCCAGTTCTTGTTGAAATATTCGCAATTCGTTTTGAGGGTGGCCCTGTCAACAGTCTTTCACTTGACATCCGGGTGAAAAATTATCAGACGAACAGTGACTACAGCCAGTCAAATACTGTCACTGGTCAGGTATTCTGACAGCAGTATACCCACTGGTGTTAGAATACAAAAGCCTGGCAGGGGGGGATTTTTCCATCCACACTATTTAGCTTTGATGGTGGAATCTGTGAGATTTTTTTTAATTCAGCCTTCAGACTGAATACAAAAAATCTACTTGTGTATGGCCAACTTAAAGTGATATTAAACCTTACTTAAAAGTATATACATTGTGATGTAGACCCAAGCACTTACCTTGCTTGCATATCTGTTCTCTTTTTCCCACTGTGGCTGTGTGGAAGAATGTTCCCTTTGACGATCCTGCCTTTGGGTGGCTCCGTCCCCTTATAGGGACCCTTGGAGCCACCTATGCATGCACACTTCCATCTGGATACCTGTGTTTACCTCCACTAAAGCTTATGGTCCCATAGGCAACCCACCCCACCCTGCTCCTCCCTCCAGCTGCTGATTGACAGGGGTTGGAGTCAGCGCTGTGCCTGAATGTAAAGGTCACAGGGAGCGTGCAAGAGAAGCTGCGCAGGACGTGGAGTGCTGGCGGTGAGCAGATAGGATAATTAATTTTTTGAGCACCTTTATAAGGAAAAAATTTATTGAGTACTGTTGCACTGCTTGACATAACCCAGTACATGTAAAAAAAGGCCAAGGGATAAATACTTCTTTAAGTCTAGACTTTCAGAAAGTGAAACTGTACTCAAGTTTTTCAGGGCAGCTTGCTGGAGCAATAGGAGAGCATGGAGAAGGTAAGTACAGACACTATGCTAAGAAAAGCAACCGGATCACTTTAATGGCCACTACACCACCTACTTACCTTTCCTTTGCTCCACCGCCAATCAGTTCAGCCATCAACTGCAAAGAGAGCACTTTTTCCTCACCCCATATGGCAGCACTGGATACCTGAGCAACCAATTACCAAGCACCAACGGTGTCACATGAGACAAAGGGAAATGAGTCATATGTTCCTCCATAACTAAAAGTATTAAGCGGCAGAATGGTGCTGTGAGGGGTGAAGGAGAGGTGTGTGTATGCTGCCTCATGGGGAAATTAAAGTCAACCTATTGCTTAGCTCTACAAAAATAAAGCACATGTTTGCTTTAAAATTGGAATACAATGATCTTGTTAATGGATTATTTGGAACATATTGTCCTGTACATTTTAGTGTGTTATCTTGATTGGCTTTGCCAAACAAGAACATTAATAATACCAATCCCGTCGCTAGTAAATTTCTTGCAGGGATCATTTTCCAGGTGTGCTGGATTTCTGCGTCTCCAGACCGTGTGCTTTATTTCCACCTATTGCACCAGTCTCTACATCACTGCTGTGTCCTTGCAGCTCTGAAGAAACACAGAAGTGATGTAGCAGTATGTAGGGTGGAACCACAGTGTGACGAAGGCATCCCTCATACCCTGATGTGTTAGATGCTGCAGAGTGATGTGTAATGGTGCACACCATAAACTGGTAAGTTCTTTTATAGGCTGCATTTTGATTGTTAGTGATAGGGTCCTTGTATGTGTGGGATGACGATAGGACTAGTAATGGTATAACTGCATGAGGTGTGAGAGTGCAACACACATTTCAACCATTGACCATTGTATTGCTAATCGGGTAAATAAAGTTGACTAATGATATAAAATGTTTATATAAATTGAAATAAACATTTTTTAAACAGAACCAAACATTTAACACAACCGTAACTCTTGCAGGTGAGCCTGAATTTAAGTATGTTGGAAACATGCATGGCAATGAAGCCGTGGGCAGAGAACTTCTTATTTATTTGGCCCAATACCTCTGCAATGAATATCAGAAAGGCAACGAAACAATCATCAATCTGATCCACAACACTCGTATACACATCATGCCTTCCATGAATCCTGACGGGTTTGAGAAAGCTGCACAACAGGTGAGTGATGCCAGTGTCTGCAGCATGCGTCTGATATGTCACTGGTAATTATTATACATTGACACTATGTCCAGTATCTTTTTCAAGTAAGCTGGGTACAAACAAGTGTTCTGTAATATTACAAAAATGGTTACAAATGACTTTATTTATTACAGGTATTTATATAGCACTGTGCTTTACATACACAATAACAGGGAGAACATGCAAACTCCATGCAGATAGTGTCTCGACCAATCCAGGGACCTCAGTGCTGCAAGGCAGAAGTGCTAACCATGGGCTACTGTGTTGTGAGCTTTTCTCTTTTCATTGATCTAATGTGTGACGGTCAGAGGTCGGCCACCTGTTATATATCAGAGAGCTCACTGAGTGCCATATTGTGAGTGTTAAAACCTCTCAGATATCTATTTCTTCATAAAGCAAGGAATGACAAGCACATGAGAATTAGGGCATGGAGAGGGTTCTGACTGTGTGGTCTGGCTGGCACCAACTGGGTTAATTTGTGGATTGTGGTGGGGTATTTATATATATCCATTGATGGGCACCGCACTCAGATAAGAGTGAAAACTGCTCGGGTGTACTCTAGGTAAATAGTAGGGTTGCACAGATACCAAGTACAGTACTCGGTACAAGTACGAGTACAAGTACCGATACTTTTGAGCTGCAAGACTAGACTAGAGAAAAATTCAAAAATTAGGAGGCGGCTGTCATGTGTAAGGAGCACACGGAGCTCCTGGGATTTGTACATCTCTGTTTTAATGTACGATTTTGTTTTTATAAATATAAATAAAGGGATGCACCGATACCAGGTTTGCGAGTACGAGTACTGGTACTTGCCAAGTACTTACAAGTACGAGTATTGATACATTTTTGTTTATTTTCATGTGACAGTTTTTCTAAAACAATACAGAATAATGACTTCAGGGAAGTTGAGGTGCGCCAGAACCAGGTCCCAGCTGCAACCGCTGCAACCCTGGTAGTTCTCATGAAAATGCCAAGTATCTGCACTGGTACTCGAAAAGTATCTGTGCATCCCTAGTAAATAGATATAAATGCTCCAATGGAAGAGGCAATCATGGGTCTTGTAATCAAGCCATATAAGTAAATGTATTGAACCAATAAATGTATTCATGCTGCTTCACTACAAGACCCACGCTTGCCTCTTCCACTGGACCATATACTGTATTTAATGGCACAATGACATGTGAACATAAAGCATTTGCACTTTCATATTTTGATGTGTCAGTGATTCCTAGATTCATGCCATTTATTCCACTACCACCACACCGTTGTGGCGCTGAGCATGGGTGTTCCTAGATTTTTCACCTCCTGCAGGCAGGAGACAGTCATTTTGGTGTCACCCTCTCTGAAAAGTTGGGCGCTCTGTCATGGACCGAGAGCTTGACAGTTGCACGGGATAGGAGAGGACCTGTCTCCCCGCTCTTTGCCGGCTTTCATCACCAAGATGGCTGCCGGCAGCTGCTCTGGGTAACACCTAGGCTGGGGACGCCCCTGCATCTGGGTTCAGTTTCGTCGGTCATCTCGCCCAACTCACTGACCTCACTGGTTGCCAGGAACTGGGCAGGACGCTGGTCAGACCGTCCCAGGTTGCTAAGAGCTCTTAGCAACCTGGGACACTCGGGCCAGAATAGGGGCGACAGGTGTGTTGTGGCCCCCCTACTTGACCCAATGAAATGCCATCTGAGTCAACCGCCTCTGGCTGCCTCAACATAGGGACATCCCTGGCGCTTAGGCATGTTTGTGGGGCAGAATGCTGCAATACCAGGTTTCTATTGGTATCTATCTAGTTGTCCTGATTACCAATGCCTCTGGGGACAGAAAATGATGGGAAATTCTAATTTTTTATTTTTTCATCAGCCCCTGTGGCCAGGCGACCACAGAGGCTGACAGCGCTGACAGGTAAGAGGTGTGCAGCCCATCTGAGACCCTGCAGAGCCCACTATAGAGAGTCTATGGTGGGCTCTGCAGGGTCACTCCCAGGTGGGCTGTTTGGTATATCAGGTGGGCTCTGCAAGTGGCATGACTAGCAATCACGGGGCCCCATACAAAATGTTGCTAGCATCTTCACGTCCTATATACAGTGTATAGGACGTGATAACTCACGGGACCTTAGACCGCTGCAGCAGAGGGGGAGGGAGGCTGGAAGAACCGGTCTGAGAGTAAGCCATCTCCTGGGTTCAGGTGAGTATAATTTTGTTATTTTTACACCTAGATGCTCAAAAATGAGCAATTAACCCTTACAGTTCGGGGGTAGCCCCACTGCAAGGGTTAAGAAAGTTTGCCTGGAGTGCTGCTTTAAAGTGATCCTGTCACTAGGAAAAATAAACTATAAAAAATAAATATAAATGATTGGCTGGCCACTAAATCAACTGCTAGTTGCCTGGCTGCCACACTTATGCTTTATAGTCAAAAGGTTTCGGATCCGAAACAAGTATACGAATAAGGAATCCCAGCTTTTCTCAGACTTTTATTTGTTGCCTATTCCAGGACTGACACTCAGAAATATTGAAGCCAGTCGCAGCTAGGCAACTAGCATCTTCAGAATGAAACAAGAAATATTTATCTGGTGACAGGTACACTTTATTGTAGAAAGGCGTTGGAGGGAATTTATCAAAATTGGAGCAGACTGAATCTGGAGCAGTTGCCCAAAGTAACCAATCAGCTTCTCTCTTTCATTTTCAAAGCTTAACTGAATGAACTGAAGAGATAAGCTGATTGGTTACTATCAGGAACTGCTCCAGATTCTGTCTGCCCCAGTTTTCATAAACCCCCGTTATGTTTTCCAGTATAGAATATTAGTGTGCTCTCGCTCCCTCTAGTGGTCGTTTTGAAGCCCTGTTTTAGATAGGTAAAATGGTAAATGTTTCATTATACAGCAATTTAAAAAAAATGTTTCCTGAGTGAAACTCATAGGACGCGTGTAAGTGAATATCTAACATCAAACTCAGATTAAGGCATTTCTGTTCATTTATTTGCAAATTCAGACAGACTAGCGAAAGCAAGAGAACGTAACCTTAATGTGTGTCTGTTTATGTCTAAAGTGTTTCGTACGCATGTTAACCTACTTTTATAACCCTTTTAAAAGCCTGGCGATATCAAAGACTGGTTTGTGGGTCGCAGCAATGCCCAGGGTATTGATCTGAATAGAAATTTCCCTGACTTGGATCGTATTGTGTACATTAATGAGAAAGATGGAGGCAACAACAATCACTTATTGCAGAACCTGAAGAAGTCAGTCGACCAAAACACCAAGGTATCAATCCATATGAACTTAATAAAATCATAATGCATCAACCTATAGTGATCACCCATCATCAGACTGCAGGAAACTGAAATCTGATTGGATAATAAAGGCTCCTGTACTTTGCACAACCTTACACACCTTCCCATTGGCTGGTTCAATAATTATTCCACTTGTGGAATATGGTTTAAACAATATACATACTATCCATTTGTCTTTTCCAGCTTGCCCCTGAAACCAAAGCTGTCATTCACTGGATTATTGATATCCCATTCGTTCTTTCTGCTAATCTACATGGAGGTGATCTGGTTGCTAACTATCCTTATGACAAGACTCGCAGTGGTAAGTCTTCTAAACAAAAACAAAAGTAGCATAGGCAAAAACCCTGAGGGATTAGGTGCAGGGGTCTGACTAAATTCCCCTTGGCTCTCACACAAAATGTAAACCACAACATAAGTAAGGGGATTTCTGTGCTCCCAGGCTAGCACATGGGAGCACCATGTTTTTTAGCTGGATTTTGTAATTGTGGAGACTAAAGCAGGAAAAATTTAAATGCCTATTGTCATCTGAAGTGATGAGACCCCAAGGTGGGCAGCAAAAGAAGCAGAAACCATAGCGGAGAAAACTTGCCACCAAACTCCCTTACACATACAGAATTCATACATACACCAGCAAACAGATGGATGGCCCTCGTAGACTACATATATCTGAAATATCAGTTTTCCTTTAAGCCTGAAAATGTGTAAAATAGTCACTTCCTGGCTTTTTCCTCAGTTTTTCACGAGAAAAAAGCCTTTATCACCAGGTCTGACAGGGTGACAAATCAAGGGTACTTTTCACAATACTTATCCAGTGATAAAGCTGTTCTCTACTTTTCACCGTTTATTAAACAGGTACATTGCTATTACTCTCTGTGTATTTTTCACAGTGAAGAGAAAAGACAACATTTTCAGTTCCTACCTGACTTATCACGATTTATTAAACACCACTTGAGAGACTTTTCACTTTGATAACGTGAGAAAAACCTTCTCAATGCTTATCACACTCTTTTCACAGTTTATTAAACGTACACCTACACCTTATCTGATAAAAGGGAAAAAGAAAAGCTTAAATCAAGGTTAGATATGAGCACCAAGGGACTATGGGCTTTGTATTTATTGCTGCTGCTGAATAGTTTTAGAGTTTCTTTTCTTCCCATATACAGTATGTGTCTTTTTCATTAAGACATTTTAGATAAAAATACTTATTTCAGATATTTTATGGAAACAGCCTCATCTTGACTTTTGCAGGCATTTTCTTTACAGTCCTGCATAATAGGATAAGTAATTGGCTATGTGCATTGTTTTCTTCTTAGCAACATAGTTATGTATTTATGGCAAACAAAATGTCGCTTGTCCAATTTTTTATGAAAAATGCAAAATAACTGCAAAGTGAATGAGTAGTTTGAATCCAGCTGCACCGCAAAAGAAAGTCCAGCATTGAAACAAAAATTGAAAAACCCACCTACTGTGTTTCCCGAAAATAAGACCTACCCCGAAAATAAGACCTAGTACTATTTTTTGGAGTTGCTAAAATATAAGACCTACCTCGAAAATAAGACCCAGTTGTGACCATTCCCAGGGCTGGTGGTGGCATAATGGGGAACTTGAAGGGGAACTAGAGAATCAGTGATGCCAACAAAGCCAGCGTTTGGGGAAGCGAGGCGGCATCGGAGTGAGCAGAGCCACCTCTATAGCGCCGTCTCCTGTCACAGGCGGAGTAATACCAAATGCACTCCGCCTGTGAGGAATCGATAGTTAAAGCGCGCTTCGCTCATTCTGGCCAGCGATTGGTTACCAAATTGCTCTTGGAAAGGAACTGCACCCCTGATTGCCAATATCACCCTATTCTTAACTTTGCCATTTTGGATTATTTAATTTGGATTTGCATTAACTTTGGATTGTTGTACATTAAAAAAAAATAAGACCTAACCCAAAAATAAGACTTAGTGGGCTTTTTTGAGCCCAAAAAAATATATAAGACAGTGTCTTATTTTCGGGGAAACACGGTAGCAGTAAGTTCTCAAGACATTCACCAATACACTGTCTGCAAAACACACTGGGGCTCCTGAAGCATCTTGACTTGGACAACTTTCTTAAGCTCAGATGAATGGGGGTGCTGCATGTTCCTTGGAAGCTTAACAAAACCTCTAGGTTTCTGAAATTACTTTTTACTTGGAAGCTGGCTAGCTCTACTTCTTTAGCTCTAAGACCTAAGTACAGCCCTAGCAGATGATGCAATTCCATTGCTGCCCTGCAACACAGTGTCCCCAGTACAGGCTACCTAAAATGAGTTCTACAAGCAGCAGCAGTAGCACTCAACAAATATCATTCTCATAGCAATGATACAGTATAGTTTCAGTAGAATAGATTGCTTTAATATGTGCTACTCTAGTTCTTTTCAAGATGAAAACCAGAAAACTGGACTTTTTGCTGCTTGGTCTTATCATGTATAAATATTCCCCTGGACTTTTTCAGTTCTTTGCAAACAGCTAGGCTAGAGTTCAATGAGGTCCATCTGCAACACCATACATTATAACTGGTCATTTTCATCTCAGAGATCATTGCCCTACACTCTCACACTAATCTTCCCTGTAGCCCTCAACATTACCTATCCCAGCTTAGCTTCTTGTTTGAATACTCACCTCTCTTGTGTTGGATCCTTTGTACCGCTGTGTCACTGACTTCCATTCGAAGGGTGCTTTATTTAAAATAAAAATATATATGAATATATGATTGTAATGTTATAAACGGCTTTTCATGGAGCACTTTTATTATCCCCAGCACTAAACAACATAACCTTTATGAACACAACACCATTTATCCCACTTTGCCAGAAATGAATTTATTTTCTGTCTTGCCAATAAAGCATTTTGTCTCTGACTTTAGAGACTGGTCCTTTTGCTGATTTATGGTAATGATATCCTTTGTCCTTGTAGGCAGCGTTCATGAATACAGTGCTTGTCCTGATGACAACATCTTCCAAAGCTTGGCCCGTGCATATTCTTCTCTCAACCCAACAATGTCTGACACAAACCGGCCACCATGTCGGAAGAACGATGATGAAAGCAGTTTTGTAGATGGGACAACAAATGGTGCTGCCTGGTACAGTGTTCCTGGAGGTAAGCTTCCATTGCAGGTCCTTTTGTATAACTGTGATATGCAAGGTAGTCTAAAGAATAAAGCCTGCAGTCTAATCAGACTTCTAATGGATAGCTATTTAGGGTGCATGTTACTAAATGTGGTCTCGGTTCCTAAAACTGTAAAACTGGTAATATGCAAACTAGCTCTTTATCCAGACATGCAGCCTAATCTGTGGTTTGCTCCCACTCCTACTGGACCCCATTCACACCTGAGCATTTTGTAGCCGGAATGCCTAGACGCTACAACACTCAAGTGGAGGAATCCCATCGTTGTTTTAAAAGGCCCCTGTTCACACCTGAGCGATGTAGCAAAATGTGTTTCAAATGTTTTGGACCCAATAGATTTCAATTGGAGCATCTAAAAAATACGTGAACAATGCCCCTATTGGGTATTTTTAAGTTTCCTTTGTCTAGTAACTAGTATCTAGCTTTGCATTGGCTAAAAACAAAAATAAAATGTTCAAGCCTGAATTTCTTGCAAAAACACCTATACAAATGCTAAACAAATGCCAGAAAAAACACCCAAAGACACTCAGCTCAAGTGTGAACAGAGCCTAAGACCGTGAGCAGATGAACTCAAATTGTGTCAGTTTGTAAATAAACTTCCCATAATACTTTCCCATAATAAACTATTATGGGAAAAAGTGTGTCAGACAACTATATAAGGAAGACATGTCCCTTTCCTTCTGCTGCTTTAAGGGCACAGACCGAGTGTGCCTAATAGTAAATCCATGTTTGCTTACAATAAAGCTTAAACGTTAAAGTTTCAGATTTATTTCTTGTTCATTCATTTTAAATCCCTCGGGGGCATTTTTTTACTTGCATAAACATTTTCTATTGAGTTTCCCATAAAAACATGGAAAAAAAAGAAGTATTTTCCAGAACATTCAATAAAACTTTAGAATAACATTTAACTGGCTGCTGTGAATATTGAGTAACACCTCTTTTATTTCACCTTTTTTCCACGTGTTTTGTATATACAGTAATGGCAGTGAAGCTTCAATATGCACATCTGGAAATGCTTAGTTTTAGTGAGGGTAGAGGAACGTAGCAGTGATTAATGTTGTGTTCAATTATACAGGTGGTAATGCAGAGGGGGGTTCAGAGAGCAGTGAAGAATAGGGCATTTGTTTGATGTCTGTTGCTCTCCACTTGTGGACCTGTACACAACCTGTACACAACTGCTTTGCTGCCTTCCTGTTTTAGTAGATGGAACCAACATGAGCTATAGTTAGTATCTAGAGCAGGGCTGGGCAAATCCCAGGGACCAGGTTGCCAGTGCGCATTAAAAATGACAGCTGGTGCCTAAATTTTAGGTTTTCACTAGTTGTTGTCAATGGAGCTGGCTCCTAGAAAAAAAATCCTTCTGGCTCCTGGATTGGACCGGCTCCTCAACTTGAATCGGACACATGTTACATATTACATTGTTTATAACCTGCAGTTCCAGGATGTGGTTTCAATGAAGTCTCTCACTGTTGAACAATGTGCTTGAATTCCAGGTATGCAAGATTTTAATTATTTAAGCAGTAATTGTTTTGAGATAACTGTGGAGCTGAGCTGTGACAAGTTTCCACCTGAAGAACTACTAAAGAATTACTGGGAAGAAAACAAGGACTCTCTAGTGAACTACATTAAGCAGGTATGTTTGTTTTCATTGAAGTAATGCTTGTGTTTGTTAATTGCTATCCTAATATTCTGGAAGCATGAAAGCTAGAGTTTATCCAGTGTTGAATAGCTTTAGTTATCCTACTAGCCAAATAAAACAGTTGGAAAAAAAAACTAAAACTTGTCGATTTACCAGAATCTTTCTGTGCAGGGAAATAAGGAAAATCCACTGTGGTTAAAGATGGATATCCTTTAATATACATAGTTGCAGCATATAAACATTTTGTAATTTAATATTATTTAAAATTGCTTTTTGTTTCAGTCTGCAGCTCTCTGATTATTTAAAAGGGACACAAATTCAGAGGTGCCATCCTTTACCATTGCAACACACGGGGTGTTCTGTACCTGCTTAGTGTACAGAGAACCCCTGAAGTGGAATTACCTGATCACGTGATTTGTCAGCAGTATTTCTCTTATTACTACACTGGGACTGATTAGTTGATGTTAGCAGGCAGTCTGTCCCTCTTAGCACTCCCTTCCTTTAGTTTGGGGTCTTTACCGGAATGATATGTCTCCGTATAAAAAACTAATTGTTGATAATCTATTTGACTGTGCCCTTAATAGAAGCAGCTGTAGGAATTTTTTTAAAGTGTATTTCCACTTTTGCAGTCAAATTTAGGACTATATGTTTGTTCTGTGTTCCCATTCGCACAGCATACCCAAAAATAATTGTAATTAAAAAAAAATCTTACCTTTCTAGTTTTGAGCAGGATTATACACTGATCTCTCATCCCCTATTACCGCACTATAGTCACATGGAAATGGCACTAAAAAAAGTCAACTCGTCTTTATATAAACAGATATAAAGATTGTGTGAATCCGTCTTTGTGACACAATATAATCTAAAATTCTCAAGACACTATGTTGCTCCACCCAGAGGCAGAAAAGTCCAAAACCAACACCTTTTCTTTGGATAACAGTTGCAAAACACCACACTGAGTGCAGTCCAAGATTTAGGGAATGTGTTCCCACTGTGTTCCCACACCACTACATTCAGAAAGGTGCACTTACCAAAGGAGATGGACCTCAGATTAAAAAAGTGCACACAGCGTAATGATAGACAGCATCAGGTTTTAAGGAAATCATGTTCTCCTGCTTGCTGGACCTCAACAACACTGGCTAGTTCCCATCATTTGCCGTGGGTTTGTGGCTCATCTCAGGATGTGCCATGGCAAGTGAGTGGAAAACATGGTGTTGTTGAGGCCTATGTCTATCATAGCGTAGCTTTGCGTAATTTTTTAATGGAAGCACATAGTGAATGGTTGTAGATGTGCGATATTTAAAATGGTAATGCACTAATGCACAGATTGCTTTCTGCATTTTATGTACTTTCAACACTGAGAGAGGTTTGTGGATATGAAGTGATCATAAAGGGAAATCCTGCATGTTATCTGGATGTCTATATCGGTGTCTGACATATGACCATTATATGAATGTTAATAAGCACTGCTTGTCCTTTATAATCTGAGATCTATGTCCTTTAGTAAGCGCACGTTGTTCTGAAGGTGGTGGTGTGTGAACACACTTGGAGTACATTCTTTGAAGTGAATTTCCTCTTTCGCAGACAAATTGGGATAACAGCTATTTTATATTTGTTACATATTCACATCGCATAGGCTAAAAAAAATAAATGCTTCTTGCAGTTTAAATAGCTTTTACTTGGGTTAGGGTTTTAAGGGTTAAAATTTGTTTTTGCTCCTATTTCTTTTAAATGTTACGAGGGGCTGTAAGGGTCTTGTCCATTCAGAGGTGGCTTGTCCATTGTATGTTAATGAAGTTTATCAGATAAACACAATCCTCAAATTTCCGTCCCAAGACTTTCCATTAGGACAGACCACTGTGAAAGAAAAACCTGGAATCAGCCATCTTGACTGATCTAACAACACATCTAAATGGCAAGATTATTTTAAAGTTATTTTTCCGTATGCTGTGTGAATAGGAACACATAACGAACATATGGAGGGGTTTTCCTAAATCTAACTGCAAAAGTGAAAAAAAACTTTAAGTCTAGGACTGCTCATGGTATTTTTTGGAATTGTTGTTCACAGAAATAATTTTCCACAAAGGAGGGTGATTACAAAGGTGTGTCTCAGGTGTCTTGGTAGGCAGCCATTATTAAAATAAAAACCCGCCTGGAGCTTTTTTTTTCTTTTTCCTGTAACCCTTCCAGAATACCCCCTTTCCCCCAGCAATTAAGAGAGGAAATGCTCCCACTGCAAGTATGATTTCAACTTTCCGTTGCCACGCTTTAAAATGAAATACATTTGTAACTAAAGGGTGTTTGTGCCTGGAGTTTTTCTTCAGACTCTGGTGGACATAGCCTCCCATCACCTATATTTATTTTTCAGGTGCATCGTGGAGTGAAAGGATTTGTCAAGGACCATCAGGGAAATCCCATTGCTAATGCATCAATATCTATAGATGGGATCAACCATGACACAACCACAGGTGAGTCTGGAAAACATCCTAGGCTGGGTCATTTAATGAGTACATACATATTTAAAATAATTGAACTTCATTCTTAATGCAGTTATGAGTGTTCTGGCAGATGGAGAAATAGGACTTATTTTCACATTGCGCAAAGCAATAGACCTTATTACTAATGCAATGCATTGTTATTTTTATGTTTTTTTGCTAAACATGCACCTCTCGAAATTCCTGTGTGTGGTCAAAAATACAGGAGAGGTCCAATTGTATTGGGAATAAAAAGTGCATTGATGTGTATATGTGAGAATGTAGGGAACATACTGTAAGTGTGTGAACCTGTCTGACCCACCAACATGGATAAACTTAAAGGAGAACTATGAGGTGAGTGCTTTTCACTCACCTCATAGTTCTAGCCGACCTGTGACAATGAAACTGTCACAGGTCAGCTCAGTAGATCGGACAGTGAGTTCGCTCACCTCGCGATCCTGTCACAGCCCTCTGCAGTGACAATTAGAAACATAATTGTCAGGATCCGCTTCAGCTGCGGCGTCTCATTATACCACAAGCTGTAGCTCGCGGTATACTGAGCTTAGGGTGACGGGAGGACGCTAGTTTGTGTCCTCCCGTTACCCTAAGGAGAACTATGGGGAATAGCCTTAACCCCATAGTTCTCCTTTAAACTAATATTACTGAGACATGTCTAGGCACCTTGTGGCCCATGCAAAACACGTTGTGTTTAGATCAGATCCTGTGTGCCCAGTGAGAATCCTGGATCCGAGGCCAACACTGTGTAGATTGGCCAAAATAGGTGTCCACGTGTGACATTTGAATGAAATGAGGCAGGGGGTAGCACCAGGAGGATGTGAGGCTTAATTGGGGCCAAGAAAGAAATGGAAGCTCTGCCTGAGCCTAGGATCCAGGGTTCTCCTCAGTGAGAATGGAGCTAATAAAGAAGTACAGTAGGTATTTCTGCATTTTGTCAGTAATCTTCCTTAATGCATTTTGATCCTGACAGATTTACTTTAAGCTATCCATATGTATATAATCCCTAAGTATGAAATTAACTTATTTTAGGTCCCTTTTGGTCTGTTATATTTGTCAACACACTAGTAAAAAAGAACATTCTAATACAGCAAATTTATTTTTTTTAAACTATGAATGTGTTTACATTTTGTTAAAAGTAAATGCAGAGTACCTTTTCTGAGTGCTTTGTTTGGCAGTCACGTGACTGCACCGCCTCCTTTTCTCATCCCTCTTCCCCATAGCAGGAGAAGTATCTGCAAAGTAAGGGGGCAGGTATTCAGGTCACACACAGCGTCTTCCCAGTAGGTTGTAACTGACCTCTGTAGTGTAGTGCTCTCATTCTCCTCATCCCTGTGCCCAAAGCATGCGACATGCCTCTCCACCACCTGCTGTCTTCCTTCCCCTGAATGGGTCCATGGATGCCTGGGATCATCGCCTACTTGTCCTCCTCCTTTTCTTGGACACTGCAAGTTTCTCCAAGTGATGTAGGCGGGTAGCTGTGACATAGGTGGGTAGCTGTGACGTAGGCGGATGGCCTGTGTTTACACTTCACACAGTGGGGAAGTAAGTTCCCCCTCTGTGTACTATGCAGCTTTGACAGCGAGGCTCCTGCTGGGAGCCACTGCCAATCAATCCAGGCAGGGCTGGGTGGGGGGCTAGCTGGAAAATGGACTACAGAGGCATGCCATGTGTAGGCACGGTGTCCTATAATTCCTAGCAGCCTTCCAAGGGACACCAACTAACCACATCAGCATGGATCTACATCCCTGCTTGTTTTGATCAGTTTCAAACAGTAAACAAAGGGAACTGACAGGATCAGCAGGTATTGATAAAACAAAGAAAAAAGTAAATAAATAACAGGCTGCAGTTAACATTACCGACTAGCATATAAATGCAAACCCGTATAGCTAATACGAATTTATGGGGTAACATACACTTTATACTACTGTAAGCATTTTGTTATAGGTGCTGTCTAAATACACAAAAAATCCTGTCAATTGATGACTTCCTGTGCCATCTGCCTGTGCTGGATTGTTATCAGTTACATTGTTCCCAGTTTCCATCTCAGAAATATGTTTTCAATCTGTATAACTAAGCACTATTAGAACTTATCACATCAGTTTTACAAAGAAGAGAAAGCCGTAAGAGAGGGGGCAAGCTGAACCTCTGAAGGTTTGTTTGGGCAGCTGCTGGGCTGTCTGCAGACCTTTAATAGAATAATTGATCTATTCTTTTTCTTTTTTGTCTTAGCTAAGGACGGTGATTACTGGAGGCTGCTTGCACCTGGAAACTACAAAGTCACTGCTTCAGCTCCTGGCTTTCTGGCAATCACTAAGAAAGTAGCTGTTGCTTATAGTCCTGCTACTAAGGTAATGATATTCTAGGAGCTCTTTGTAATTGATTAATATAAAACATGGATAATGTCACTGATGATACTTCTGTTTTCAGCACTGGGAGCCTGACAGCAGGGCCGGTGCTAGGATCTTTGCCAACACAGGCAAAGTTGAATTTTTGCGCCCCCCCACCCCGCAACCAACCCCCGACAACAGTGTTAGTTTTCCCTGCAATGCACAGAGAACCAGAGCTGCTACATTAAAATACTACCCTTAAGGTGCCTATACACCTTACATTTATCTGCAGATTTTTCTCTGCGATCACATTTTCGTCCAAAAATCTGCCAGTTGATTAGGAGTGCACAACCTCAATTACTGTACAACTGGCAGAAATTTCATCTTTCAAGCAGGCTAGAAAACGTTTGTCTAGTTGGATGAAAATTGACAGGTTAGTGGTGTTTTTTGTACAACAAAAATCTCAACATGAAAACTGCACATGCTCAAGAGAAAATCTGTTCTTTCGATCCCCGAAAATCAGCCAGTTAGTGGTGCTGACGAACGTTGATTGCGAACTACATTGGTCAGTGCGTGATGGGCTGTTTGAACGAAAATTGAACGAGGGTGAGATGTCTGGACAAAAAAAGTTGTACAATGATTGTAAGCTGCATGGGCACCTTAACACTTAATGCTCAAATACCTTAACACTTAAGGTGCCCATACACTTTACAACCCTCGCAAGACTTCTGTCTTGCAAGGGTTGTAAAGTAATTTTAAAAAACGTACAATCTGACCCATCTTGGACAGGCAGATCGTACTTGCGATCATTGCAAGCTCGCCCCCCTGACTGCAATGCTGAACGGGCAGTGTGCGTGTGCGCATACCGGCCCGTTCGGCAGTCATCTCTCGATCATGTTAAAAACCAGCCGAAAATCGTACGATTCTCGGCTGGTTTTCCAACATGCTTGAATGCGACCGTACAGTATGCGACCGTACAGTAGAAACGGTCGCACGCCTTCCATACACTGCACGATTATCGTACGATCGCGGGATTTCCCGCGATTCTCGTACGAGAATCGTGCAGTGTATGGGCACCATAACCCTTCCTCTAATACGAGCCTTTAAAATGGAAATAAAGCACTGACTTGCAAGCCAGAAGCATTGTATTGTAGAAGATACAAAAATGCAAGTTGGCAGCTGAACTGAATGGTTTGTGTAACCACTTGAGTACCAGTCTGTAATACCTTTTCATTACCAAGCCATTGTTCAGCTTTCAGTGCTGTGAAAGCTTGACTGACAGTTACTCAAATAATTGAATTTTAGAACATGTTTTTGAGACAGATAGAATTTTCTTTTAATGGTATTTAGTAAACGCAGGGTTTTTAATTTTTACTACAGAAAGGAAAACAAGACCCTTTTCCCCCTTACTTTCTGTTAACAAAATGACACCTTTTTGGAAAGTAGAAACCTCTAGATTACCTAATTTTTTTAGCAAAAATTATTTGGAAATGATTTAACATGCTGGTATTAAGGGAGTTAAAACATGGACCTTGGTAATGGCACACTTGATAAAGCATATATAGGTCATACACAGGGATCAGGAGGTGAAGCGGTTACTGTACAGGTCATATAGTTTGTAATGTGGGAGGATGGAGATGAATGGGTTAATGTACAGATCTGAAGGATGAGGAAGGTGAAGAGGTCATAATACATGTTGCAGAGAGACAGTGTGGAGAGGAGGGAGACTGAAAGGGTTACATTTTATTTGCAACTGCTGGTGCCATGATATGTGCAGTGCTTAGGAACGAATTATAACTCATTTGTTCATCAGTTCCTGTTTCCTTTCCTTCTTCTGTTGTAAGAGGAAGGGGAGGGCTCTTTGATGCTAACACAGAGGAGGAGGGGGGGGGGTTTTAAAAATGACAGAAAAAAGTGTGGAGAGGAGGGAGACTGAAAGGGTTACATTTTATTTGCAACTGCTGGTGCCATGATATGTGCAGTGCTTAGGAACGAATTATAACTCATTTGTTCATCAGTTCCTGTGTCCTTTCCTTCTTCTGTTGGAAGAGGAAGGGGAGGGCTCTTTGATGCTAACACCAGGGAGGAGGGGGGGGGGGGTTATTAAAATGGCAGACAGAATCTGGAGCATTTGCCCATGGCAGTCAATCAGCTTCTCTCTTAGGTTTGTTTAGTTAAGCTTTAAAAAAGAAAGAGAGAACCTGATTGGTTGCCATGGGCAACTGCTCCAGATTCTGTTTGCTTCAGTTCTGATAAATCCCCCTCATACTGTTTACATCATGTGATCGCTGTCATTGATCTAATTACAACCAATCACAGCTTGGATCGACTCTGTACACAGTGCTTGTGAATGGACCCATCCAAGGATGGATCCATCAGCATTAAGAGCGACCTGTGGGCTATTTCTGGATTGATGTTTATAAATGTCATTCCAAAAATAGTTCTGATGTTTTTTTTAACAATAGGGCAGTAGGGAGGCAGTAAACATCATTAAAAATCCTTATAATATACATAGGTGGCTCTTTCAAGCAGATCAGATACCACTATCTGCAAGACACCAAAGTGTTTACTCGAAATTGTGCCTGCATTTTACCAGTTATTCATAAAATGCAGTGCCTTAGGGTGGAGCCTGAGGTGTCCTTAAGAGTGTTCTTTACATAACTCTGCAGAGAACACTCTGTGATAGGAGACA